GAGGGAAAGGGCTGAATGATGAATGGATTAAAGAGGACCTGTGGCTTCTTATGTAGCTTATTGTCCCATCAGCTCTGCCCATTGCAGTACATCACCCACCTCATTGCTGTTCTGCACTCCTCTTCCTCCAACGCTCTCCTCCAGGCACGGCACCTCCTCCACCATGAATGCTGCAATGGCCGACCCGCCTCCTGAAAATGTTAGTTGCCTGGCCATGTGCTGGCTTCAATACCTTCTGAGCTGCAACAAATACGTAGATCAGTAAAGTCAGAATTCCTTGTTCTGGGTCAGTGAAGCAAAATGGCCAGGCAACTAGTATTTTCAGAAGAGACCTCAATAGCAGCTGCTCACATGATGGGTGTACTATGGATTGGGTAGTAACCAGGCTAAGGTGACCTTGCCTGGAGGGATTAGGAGGCTACAAGGTACACTGAGGTTGCTGGTCAATGACAGCTTCCACCTGAGAAGTGAGACTGAATCAGATATGCATCCATGAACCAACGGCTCCTACACAAACCAGCCAGGGACGGTTCAGTTCCTGACTGATAGAGGACCGGAGAATGTCACTCTGCACAGAACTGATGGGGAATGTGACAGGTCCTCTTTGCAGAGATAGGTGTATAGACAGCCTAAGATTCAGTCCATAGTAGTCTCCTGTACTGGCGCTAATCTCTAACAGTCTCCTGTAGCCTGCGTGTCTGATGCCACTGCTCTATAGAGTAACAGGACCACGGTACATGCTGGGTGGGTGCAGATCCACAAAAAGACAACTGTAGACACCTTCTGGGGGAATACAAAGAGTGATGCGCAAAGTGTAACCCCGTACCAACCACTCTTTTTGTAAATTCGGGAGATCTCGGGTTGCTTACGGCACTCTGCAGATCATCGCGTCTCTCCTGGAGTCCGCTGTACATCATGTAGAGCGCCATCCCCACAGCAAGGCGCGCTGCTCTAGAGCAGTGGTTCTCAACTTGTGTAACCTCAGGATCCACATTTGTCCTCGGTCATGAAATCGTGACCCAAGTCGCACTGCAATGGAACATATGGCAGTGTGGGCTGCTGTGCTGTGATGGAGCTCCACCCATATGTGCATTGCCTGTGCCGCTCACATGTGCGCCTGTAGAGGTGCCGGGAGCCAGAATGTGATGTCACTCCAGTCCAGGAACCTCTACAGGACATGCGAGCGAGCTGTAAGTAATGAACGTATGGAGGGAGCTTCATCGCAGCCATACCCCCACCCCACCCCAAGTCAACACTTGGCGCTGGGCAGCATATTTTGAATGGCTACTTGGTGTAAGAATGGACAGTGCTGCACTACAGGGGGGCTAGGGGGAGGCTGAGGAGCCTCCCACCTAGAAAAGTGGAAGGCATGCTGCGACCCACTGAACATGGGGTCACGACCCACCAGTTGAGAACCAAGGCTCTAGAGCATTCCTTGGTGTGGGAGAGTCAGACTTCAAGAGCCTGTGTATGTCTGATCAAAGAGGAGGGGCTACTGAAAGCCGTTTACAAAAGCGAAAAAAAAAAAAACTTAAAATACCCGATTTGTCAGTAAGGTGGAGTTCTGCTTTGAGGGCCCCTCGTTACCGTCGCACCGCGACTCCTGAAATAAAACCGCACGCTGATAGCTAAAGATTTCAATAAATTAATTTCTCCTCAAAGGAAAAAACGTAACTTTGTAACACTCTAAAGAAACATCAGCCATACACGGGGGGAGGGGCCACCTCCGCACAACGCACCTCGGCTGTGAACGGCAGACGCATGCATCCAGAACCACCTAAATATATATACAGAAGAAAAGATCGTCAACGTACCGCACACAACTGTCATCAGACTACCCGCCACATTCACGTCACACCTTTTGGCTCCGTCTGTCTTGGCACTATGCTACGTTTCCTGAGATCGGGAGCCGCGATTATCATGATGGCTGTGTAGGGAACAAGCAACGGGCGGTTCATGTAACAACGATGACTCCGTTCCCAATCACATGACTCTCGCAGAGACTCCAATGGTGAGATTCCCCCCGCATTGCTTGCTCCCTCCGCTCCCTACCATAAGGCCAGGATGAAAATCCATTGATCCGCCATTGGGGAGAATCTGTGGGAGGAGCGTCACCATTTAAGGGCTTCGTATTGGCAGCAGCCGTTAGGAGGCGGGATTTCTAATCTCACCAATGGAGACATAAGACGCCATCATGTGATCCAACTTGCCAGCAACGACGTAAAAATGAAACATCACACAGCAATGGCTTGACGCGCGACATTTTGGGGACTATGTGAAGAGTCTATAGCAGGACCGCCTATATAAGAAAACCCGCGGGACAGTGTGTGTGTTGCCCCCATCAGCCAATCAAATTCCAGCTGCGCATTCACGAGAATGGAACTTGGTCACAATATGCAATTTTGTTTTCTAGTTCATTATAGTCAACGCAATCAAGATCCCTATTCCAAATCTGTTGCAGCATAAAAGTCATCTAAATATACACAGGGAGAAATGTCTGTTGAAACCTAAAGAGGACCTGTTAAAAAAAAGAAAAAAAAAGAAGAGGACCTGTCACTTTTTAAAAACTTTTTCATCAGCTTAACACGAGTTCCGAAAAGTTTCCATTGATACTTTGTCTGCAAACACCCGTTTCAGAGTAACAGTTGGCCCAACTCGCAGGTGAGAGTCTGGTCTATGGTGTCCAGTTTAGGACAATCCTCCTACATACTGCCGTACTGCATTCGTTTTACAGTTAAACGTCCCTCACATCTGCTGCACAGCCGACTATTTCCTTTACTCGGCAGCCTCCTCCCAAAGGCTGATATCGTCTCCACACCTTGTTCCTTAAAAACAAGGTCGCGGCCTGCAGCAAAGATTGATATGTCCAAAGTGACAGGTCCTCTTTAATCGCCGGTAATATTTACACTTACACCCCATAAATTCACACAGAGGGAAGCAGAATAAAAGTGCAGACACAACATCGATCATGTCGCATACAGGATAATAATAATTAAAATCAAAAATACATTCTTTATATACAAAAGAC